CTTTCGAGTCCACTGACGACGTGAAGACATTATGCAAATCAAATTGACGGGGAAAAATGTATTTCATTATGTGAACCGTATGACTCCGGTTGGTGCTCTCTGGGTATCTATTCAAAACGTCTGGTTATCTTAGCATATGCCGCGCACACCGATATCTGCTTGGGCAGGGAGGGACATACGAGTATGCCTCAGACCGAATTTTACTCTTCCTTTATTATCTACTGCAGCTCGTGCATAAAGCATCCTGCTTCTAACGAAGATAATATTTGCGGGGCTGTGGAAACTATCCTCGACTGGCGCTGTGTCCATATCAGTTGCGCCTTTGGCCATTTTACAGGTTTTCAAGTCAAGAGCGTTGAGTTCAGATAATGGTATTCCTAAATGACCATTAGTCTGTCAGTGAATACCATTAAAGAATCAACTTAGAAAATGATTCCTTACCACTTAATTGATAGAAGCTACCATTTTTGCCGTCTACTTCAGTAAATACTGCGCAGTCCAGGAGTAAATGGAGCATAACTTCAGCACAGGTTTGTCCGAGCAGACCAAAGACATCAGTCCAAGGGGAGTTCTTCAAAGTTGAAACATTCTTATTGGGATACTGGGGAACAACTCCAGGTATCCCAACCATGGCATCATGTTCGTGGTCTGGACGACACTGACCAGTCGCCCTCTGGAAACCATGGCACAGCAGATGCGGTGGTTTATAAAAAGAGCCACGGAATCTTTTAAAAAGACTAAGTATCGCGAAATCTACGATCTAACGTGTTATGGTAATGTTTCGTCAGTTTCTCTATAACTATTTCAAACGCCTGCAGCCGTTCATCATAACCACCGAGGCAAACTGTTTGGGTCAACGAACAACACCTGGGAGTTGCTCGATGGCAACACCCGAAGATAAAACATAAATACGTTTCTTTTGAAAAAAAAAGCAGACACTCACATCCGACTGAGATATGGTAGCACCGATATTAGTATATTCTAGTGAAGAGCGGACTTTAGATTGTGTATACGCAGCGAATTCTTTTTGTCTCGCATCGTTAATAGCACGATCAGATTCTTTGAGAATGCCCACAAGCGTTGAGTCCAGGACATCAGCTATGATCTGAGTTTCTTCATGGGTTCTCAGGATGCCAGAGCTTGGTGACCGGGGAGGGAGAGTCAAGGAGAACAATGTATGTGGTGTACCGCGCTGGTTGTTCAAGCCGATGGACGCTATTTTTCTCCTTCGTGATTTGGACGACGCCGGTAGTTGGGCATGAAGATAGTCTCTGAGCGTCATTATCCGGGAATAGTAAAGTGAAAGCACAGGATGGTAGATTGAGCCATCCACAGGTTTATCATACTTTACCCGCTTCTCTAATGGCAAATCGACCGGGGCTTTACTGTTTGGTGGTTGTTTTCTCTTCCTTGCCATTTGGTAGTATCTTTTGTAAGGCCTAGAAGATGTCAACATTATTGAACTCAATGTTCCTTGGAATTTTTCTCTCTCCTCAAGCAAAAGAGAGTAAATATAAGAGGAAGGTAGAGTCTCTTGTTGTTTTCATTTGCAATGAATACACTTAGGCATGAATAATCATGCAAGGGGGGTTTAATCATTGACAATGTAATACAAGTTAACCAATTATAAATGATTTAATAAAATTAATAAAAATCATAAATAAATTATAATTATTAAGTCTATAAATATAAAAGAGTTTTATATATCTTTAGCAGTTATTTTAAAATATAAATAATATTCAATTATATAATATTAAAAGTTTAATTTTTATTTAAATAAATTTTATTATTAATATATATAACTAAATAATAAATAATATAAATATTATATTAATATAAAATTTATTTAATTTTTTAAAATTATATTTAATTAATATAAAATATTTATATACTTTTAATAATTTTTATAAATAAATTATTATTATTATTATTATTATTATTATTATTTATTTAAAATATATTTAGTAATTAATTATAATATTTATTGAGTTAAATTAAAACTTAATTATTATATTAATTTAATTATTAAATTTTATTTTTTAAAAAAAATTTATAATTTAATATTAAAAAAAATTATTTAATTAATTAATTAAATATTTTACTTTTAATTTTATTTAAATATTATTATTTAAAAAATAATTTATTAAAATATAATATAAATTTTTTTTAAATTATAAAAATCATATTTATTATAGTTTGAAAAAGTATTGAATCTTTTAATATAAAACTTAAAGTAGTTATATTATAGTTTTAATTATATTATAGAAGAAAATATTTACTTCTTATATTATATTAATAAGAACTTTCACTTTAACTTTGTTTTGTATTTTACATATTAAATATTTTTCTTAAAGTTTTATCTATTTATCAAAGATATAATTCTTTAATTTTTTATGATATAATAATAAAAGATAGTTTTTTAAATTATTTTTTAATTATAGTATTTAATTTTTAAAGTTAAATTTATTTTTTATTTTTTAAAACATCTATATACTGTTATAGTGTAGTTGCTAATAATGTGAAATAAGATTAATTTATTGTGATCTTAATCACATTCAATGCTCAAATTTAATTTATCTTGATTTTTAATTATTTATATATATACTGCTTATTTTATTTCTATATTTTGATTCTCAGTTTACTGTTCTCATTATAGCTATTTAGTTAGATAGATGAATTGAGCTTATGTCTTATTGTTATTATACTTACAGTTAAATTATCAGATAATACTAAACTTCTCTTTCTTATAAGCCCTGAGAATTGAGTAAGTAGATCTCTTATTCATGTTTATGTTCATGTTCATATCTATATTTATATTTATATTCATATTTATATATATCTATATCTAACTAAGCTTTTCAGTAATTGTAAACATGCTTAGTATTTAAAATATTAGTTAAATTTTTTTTTTTATCATTTCTTACTTATTCTTATATTTATTATAAAAGCTTCTTTTGCTGATTCTTATTAGAAATTTAAGAATGCTCTTCAGTAGCTCTATAATCAAAATCATGAATATTAATCTTTATAGATTAATTGTTAGTTTTTATATACTATATATCACTTCTTGCAGATAGCTCTAAACAGCTCTCAATTTCAATTATAATTTAATTTAAAACTCTCACTACCAGACTCTGAAAAGTTTACTAAAACTAAACTTTGAAATTTAATATCTAACTTCTCTCAATTAATGTTAAACTATATATTATGTTACTATTGAATATCTAGTTACTTAGTTTTACTATATCTACTTGAATCTAAATTTATATATATATACAATGATTGATTCTTAGCTAATTTAAGCTGAAAAAGTAAGTAATTAAGACTATAATTCAATTCTTTATTAGCTTTCTCATATAATATAATTATTTAAACAAAATAATTAAAATAAAAGATAAACTATACGGTTTAAAGCAGAGCTTAAATATATCTCTAAAAGTCTATATTATTAAGATTTAATATATTATATATGATATTATAGCTCAGAAGTAATTAGATATTTTAAAAACTTTTAATTCTGTTAAAGTCACAGCATATTAATTTATAATCATCTAGCATAGTGTTTAAATCTATTTTAAATTTACAGAAAATTTTTATATATTGTTCAGAAATTAATTTCTAATTTTATTTATTTATCTTTGTCTCACACTTCTCAGTAGTCTGATTGCTTTACTCATTATAATTATTTTGATTTTATAAATCTAAATCAGATTAATACTTTTAACTTTTTATGTAATTTTTTATTATATATTTTATTGATTTTATTTTTTTAATAAAAAAAAAATCAAGAAGACTATTGTATATATTGTAAATTTAGTAATTATTAAGTTAAATATTATTATTATACTTATATTTCTCTAAGCTTTATTACTGTATAACTGTCAAATAAATCCTAGTCTTTAATCAAAAATCTAATAACAGTAACTCAGATGTTACTGAAATATAAAAGAAAACATATAAAAATCTAATAAATGATAACTAGGATAATTAATCTACTAATAAGCTTATTAAATTTTATTTTACTCTTTTTTATATTCAGCATAGCTGCTTTAAAGTAAATAATTTTATAAATCAAAAAATAATATTATAATACAGTTACTTACGTAATATAAAATAAAATTAATTCATTTCAATTCAATTATAGA